ATGTTATCTCAGCTACCCCACTTCTTTGGTAAATATCCATGCATGTGAAGTACGTACCTCAACTGCTTGAATGTATATGTGTGTGTGTGTGTGTGTGTGTGCGCGCGCGCGCAAGTTTTGTCTATCTTCTGATAAGATAAATAAATGCAAAGAATTATCAAAGATAATATTTTCAAGAAGCCTTCTTAGTAGAATCAACAGGAAGAGGCATAAGTGGAGGTCCTTCAGGCATGCATGGCTAACACTAACCATGATGTATGGGGTCATGCACACTCTAGCACCCCATAAATGTTTGGCGAACTGACTGAACCTTGACTTGTCCTTAGAACTAACCATCCTAAACAGCACATAGGTAATTACTTTTTGGAAAAATTGTGATTAGTGTTTAATATCATCTATCTTTTTCTCCCATGCTGTTCTGTAGGAGTACATTTTAAAATGTTTTTTTCCCTTTGACCTTAATGCCATCTACTTGAATACCTGCTTCATATAAAATTTCTAACAGCACATACCACAGCAGATTCAAGGCATCATTTTGAAAATGGAGTCAGCATCTTTTAAGACAGAAGACAGATAGTATCTCCTTTTGCACACAAAGAAAATGCATAATTTGATATTAAGGTAAGAACTAAAGACATTTTAAATGTGTTCTTCGATTCTTTAAGATCAAAAGAAAAAAATTTAAAGAATCAAAATGTTCCCACATACCTGGCTTTGTTAAAAGGAAATCATGCTTTTTTCTTGCATTAATAAAAACATTCAATTATAAGGTTAAATTTTAAACATAACTTTTAAAATTTAAATAGCAAAAACATTGCATTTAACATGAACATGAATAGGCAAAAAAGACACACCCATTAAGTAGAGCTTTTGGTCAAACATATTACTGTATTTCAACTTTGCACAGCTTAGAATCATTCCTATATTTTACAGCATAGTTTAGGCATTAACCAGAAATGACCTTGAATGAAGTGGACCTTTTCTTCTGCTTTAAGGGCAAATGAACCAAGCTCCAGGGAATGGCACTGTCTGGGCCTTTGAACAAGACAAAAGTGACCAAATCCTGTTTGATATGTATAAACAGTACAGAATCCATTTTGATTTAATAAAAGGATGAGTTTGTTTCACATCATGTGAAAAATATTCCCCTCTTCCTGAAAATGCTCTTTTACTCCCACTGCGGTGGCCACTTTTTCTGGGGCATGGGGTGGCAAGTGAGCCTTGCTGCCCTAAAAGCGACATCTGTGTGGCTACAGCTACGTTCATCTCCCAGAATGCACTGTGGTGGGACATTCAGAGCAGGAGAGAGGAAAATGTTACACCGCATTGGAAATTAAAAGTAAAGGATGTAATATCAACAGCACACACTCATTACTTGCAACACTGTAGTTCTCTAAGTTTTTGTTATTTTAAAACCTTCAGAGAAACAATTTTTTAGTGCTTTACTGGTATTTTAACACCCAAAAAGCCTTAAAAAATTAAACCATTTCAGAAACTACCTTTTACGTTTTAGACTCTCAATTTTTCATTAACTGATGAATAACAGGGAATTTTAGGTGTATGTTCAGAAAGAACTGAAAATTTCACCTTCTTAGGAACCTAAAAAATAAAAAGATGAAAAATAATTTCAACAGAATACTGCCAAAAAATATTTTAGAATACTATGATGATTGATTTAGGCTTATCTGGCGCTACTTTAAAAAAATTTTTCCCATAATTTTATTGAGAAACAAATAGCAATGAGACATACCTGGTGCTACTTTATCAGATGCATCTAAACTTCAACGCTAACCTCAAATAACATAGACCTGACTTCCTATATAGCAGAGATCTTGCTTAACTGAGGTCTTGAAGATCAGAATGACACACATGTCTATGACTTCTATTCCTCCAGGGGCCTCATCACCATTCTCACTGTGTGGAATGTACTGCAGTTAAACCTGTAAGAAGTACTGAGGTGGACATCATTGTTTCTGCCTGCTCAGAATCTCGTCTCTAATTTTCTTTGGAGAGTCTCTCTATTCCAGACTATGTGCAGCTAGTGCCAAACCCCTCTCCCAGGGGATGGCAATCAGATCCCTGGTTATTCAATCAAACAGTCCATTCTCCACCTTCAGAGAGGGTAAGTGACTACAACTGCCCCTGTAAGAATGGTTCTGGGACTCTAGCTGCAAATATTGACCTCCTTCCCCAAAGAGCTGCTTTCTTTTCCTTTCTAGGACTCAGTAGTACCTCTAAGGGGCTCATATGGAAACAGGTTGTCTGAAAATGAAGCCTAAACTGAAGAGACATCCTGGTAACCTTGACTGACAGGGCCAACCATGCCTTAAATGCAAGCTCTACCCAAGGCTTTTTGCATCAATCAAATAACATCTTTAAGCCAGTTGAAACTGGTGGTGTCACTTGCAGCTGAAAGGATCTTCACTCCAAAGGATAATAAGCCTAAAAATAAACATGACTGCTTTTGAAGTTTCTAATGGATTTTCCTCTTCATATACATAATCTGTTTTAGTCCTCACAATTTGGGACTATTAATACTAAATTATTCTTCATTATTTTTTGAATACATACTACATGAAAAAGGATGGGAGAGGGGAGGAGGCGACTGATCTGAAATTTCCCTCACATGGAAGAATAGCAGAGGTTACACATTTCAGGGCTTTAGTGGCCCTGAAATCAATTCATCAAATGAAAGAATAAACAGCATCAGACAAGTGATCTTCATTAATTCTTGAATGATACACTATCAAGCTGCTGCAAATTGCCAACCTAAGAGTCCTAAGAGAATGGCTCAGACAATAAGACAGATGGAATCACGTTAGGCGTGGGGGTTCCTTAGACTTTGCACATCTTTGTGGGCACAGCCATTGTCACTGTGATAGGAAAAGAAGGATGTGGAGGATTAATCATGCCTCAAGGACATGTGAGCAAAAAGGTCCATAGGATGACAGGCCTGGCTGAGAAAAAGGCTCAGATACAAGACAGAGGGTCATGGGCAAACAGATATGGCTGGCACTCAGTAAGCATGTGTGGAGAGTGTGAGGGCCGCTCTCCATCGGTGTTTTTCCAGGTGCCTCCCACGGGGAGATCTGTCGCTCTTGGCCGCTTCATTGGATGTAGGTTCATGATTCAGCTCTCACCTCTTAAATTAGTTCAAGCTCTCACATTAGATGTAATCACAGCTGGCAGTGCTTTCTGGTTATGTCTCAAACAGACAGGAGCTAGAAAAACATTTTGTGGTTTTCATTTAAAGTAAAACTGCAGCCTCTTCAGTGCAGCCCACCTCTTTCTCCTACCCACCCAATGACCCAGCAGGCCTGAGACTGAGGGTAGGGGTTGGAGATGAAAGAAACACAGGAGATGGACCCGCAGACAGGCGTGGATGTTCAGGATTCCAGGACCAGCTTGGGCACAGCATACCCTAGTGGGTGGGAGAACTTGCCTCTAGGAGTCCCGCCCATGTGGAGGGAAGGTACTGGCAACCCGGGCACTCCTGCCATGACTGTCCAGCTCACAGGTCCGCGCTGGGTTCTACCTGCTACACACTATGGTCTGGCTGAACACAGCAGCTTCAGGGTGGTTCAGCAGTAACTAGAGCACCAGGGGCCGGGAAGGCAGGGTCCAGACTGGCCTCTGTCAGGGTTAGAGCCAGTGCTTTGCTTTAGATTTGATCCTGACAGATCCACTGGCTTTCAGATCTCTGCCTTCCAGCACCCAGCCTGGGATGTGCTCTTCCTCCGACCATCTCCGGGAGTCTCAGTCTCAATCTCTCAATTTTCTCTGGAGCAGAATTTTGACTTTCACGTTTGTAAGTGTGTGTGTGTGTGTGTGTGTGTGTGTGTGTGTGTGCAGTTTTAATTCTACACGTGGAACAACTGATTTATGGACCAGATTACCCTGGAAAGATCATCCATAAATCATAAGACATTGCATCTATACTCGAGGTAATGATGAACAGGGACCCTGGGATATAAAGCACGCAGAAAAGGCTGAGTATCTAACGCGTATGAATACTACATATGCACAAGAAAGAAAGCAGTAGTAAGTGAGCCTGAGTGCGACGCCGCTGTACTTGTACCTCGCAAGCTTTTCTGTAAGGGGCCTCGTCCCCTTTCCCTCCACTGCATCTTTAGCGCAGCTCAGGGTTAGACCCAGGAGATCTGTCACTTACTCCAGGTTAAGTGACTGAGATTCCCTGAAATGGCTTTTCGGACCAGCCCAGCGCAGGAGGGCAAGAGGCCCAGCTGCGTCCTCTAGGCCGCTGGCTAGGAAAGGACCGCACACCCCCTAGATACCCGCCTGGGTCGGAGCCGGGCCGGTTGTGTGCCCACCGCGCCAGGTGCGCCACCCAGCCCCAGCGCGGCCCCGCCCTCGCGCGCTCTGCACCCGGGACGCCCCAGCACGCGCTCTTCCCACAAGGCCGCCCAGTTCCCCGTGCCCGCATGAAGGCCGCCCAGTTCCCCGTGCCCGCATGGGGGCGCTCCCCTTCCACCCCGCGATCCCACGCGCGCCATTCGGCCCTCTGCGATTATGCTCGCGACCATGACGCGCGCCGCCGCCTACCTGAGGGCCGGCGCGGGAAGCGCGCAGGAAGGGCCGAGGACGCTGAGCCGGGTCGGGGCACGAGGCGCCAGGCGGTGGAACTGGCAGCCGCGGCTGACCGACCGGGCGCGAGGACGCGCGCACGCGCGCTCCCTGCCCTCTCTCCTCCTGTCTACTCCCGGCTAGAGCCCAACCCTGCTGCCACGCGCCGCCCGCCTCGCCGCGCCTAATAACAACGGCGCCCTGGGTCAGGTGGCCGCGCGCGGACAGCGCCGCCATTGGCCCGGCGGGGAGCGCGGTGCACCAGGATTGGCTCGAGGGCGGGTCCTGGGCGGGTCAAGGGCGGAGTTGCGAAGGGAGGCGGGTCCTAGCAGCGGAGGCGGGGCGAGGCCGCGGTCCGCGCCTTTGTGCCCGGCGCGCGCTCTCCGCCCCGCTCCGGCTGCAGCGTCCGCTGCATCAATAATTCAGAGCGGCGGCGGCGGCGGCGGCGGGTGCGGGCAGGAGGCGACGGCAGCTGCGGCTATGCATCGAAGTGCGGCTGGGCAGCCGCTGCACCCCTAAAGCCCGGGCGGGGCTTCCGGAGCACCCGCTGGGGACGCTTGTCCCGGATCGCGAGGGACAACAAGAGTGACCGGGAGGCGTCGCGGAGCTGCGCCCCTAGCTGAGGAGGGGTCTTCAGAGGGGCTGGGGCGGGGGGCGGCTGGCGCGGGCAGCCCCCGGGGCGGGGGGCGGGGTGGGCGCCGGCGGCGCGATGCGGGGCGTCGTGGAGCTGCTGTTGCTGGGCGCTGCGTGGCTGGCAGGCCCGGCCCGCGCGCAGAATGAGACGGAGCCCATCGTGCTGGAGGGCAAGTGCCTGGTGGTGTGCGACTCCAACCCCACGTCCGACCCCACGGGCACAGCCCTGGGCATCTCCGTGCGCTCCGGCAGCGCCAAGGTGGCGTTCTCTGCCATCCGGAGCACCAACCACGAGCCGTCCGAAATGAGTAACCGCACCATGATCATCTACTTTGACCAGGTGAGCGCAGTTTCTTCTACGTGCACATTGGATCTGGGGTGCGGGTGGAAGCAGCGGCAGAAGACGGCTGCTTGAGACCTGCAAGGGCTCGGTGGAGGCGCGGGGACAGCAGCCGGGACTCACTCTGGTCTCCTCCCTTCGTTCCCATCTCCTCATAGGTGCTAGTGAACATCGGGAACAACTTTGATTCCGAACGCAGCACTTTCATCGCCCCGCGCAAAGGGATCTACAGTTTTAACTTCCACGTGGTAAAAGTCTACAACAGACAGACCATTCAGGTCAGCTGCCGCCCCGGGGCCAGGCCCTGGACCCCGTAGGGGACTGCTAGCCGTGCGCGGGCTCTGTGGAGGTGGGGGACACAGGCGGCAGCTGCCTGTGCTCGGGTAGCTCCAAGGAACAGATAATAGAGCCTCACAGTTCTGCGGTTTGACTGGCCCTTGCTTTTTCAGTCCCTTGCTCTTTCGACCTATCTCCACCCCTAGACTGTTTTCTGCTTCCTCCATCGGGGTCCCTTGGAAGAGGTTCCCGGCTTTCCTGGGGATTCCAAGGACTTTCTGTGACAGCTGCCGCTAGCCACACAGACATCCCTATCTTCTGTGAGCTTCCTAGGACTGTCGCCGTCACTACCAGTACCCTCGACCCCTTGCCGCAGCCCCGGGGCTAAGAGGCGGCTAGTGCTCTTGCCTTTAGCCCCGGGGATGGGACAAGGTCCGATTTTTCTAATCTGGAGCCGGGTCCTTATTTTACGGGTCACTCTGATTGTTTTGAACTAGCAGCTTACAGCCTGGGCCGATGAAGGGTGGGGATAGGAGGATGCACAGTGCCACTCCTAGCTCCAGCCTCGTCCCAGCCAGCGCTCTCTGTTTTCAGATCCCAAAGACTCCCAGGTGTCCTTTGAGCCCAGACAGAAGCCTAAAGCGCAGCCTGGGACAGTGACCTGGCCATGGGCTGGCGAGGCCGCCGCAAGGGCAAAGCAGGCTGCGGCGGGCGCGGGCTGGAGCTGGGCGGGGATGGAGCCAGCGTTTTGGAGATGTAGCGGAGCGCACCTCCGTGGGCGCTTTCTAATCAGGCTGAAGCCTTGTTAAGCTTCTTCAGAAGTCTCCACCGCGTCCCAGCAGCTGGGCCAGGAGGGACCGCAATTTCTCTTTTGGTTTTGGCTTTTCGGGAGCGGAGTTGCGTGAGTTTCTCTGTTGGGTGGAGGGAAGCGAGAGAAATCTGGAAGGTCTCCCGGCGCTAAAGTCTCCTGCGATTCGTTAACCTGGGCAGTGCACCCTTCGGTTCTCTGGGCGGGCGCACAATTAAACTGGGACGAAGAATGACTCCCGAGGTGTGAGCAGATGCTTCCTCCCACCCAAATTATTTGGGCTCTAGTTCCCCTGGGACCTTCTGCTGTAAACTGCAGATAGCTGCTTCCTCCCACCGACCCCGCCCCGAGGCCTACGAAGCTGGTCCCCTAGCGCGGCGTCCACACAGTCCCCAGCCTGGGTCCTGCCTCTTCTCAATCAGGTCTTTCTCTTTCCCAGGTGAGCCTCATGTTAAACGGGTGGCCGGTGATTTCAGCCTTCGCTGGGGACCAGGACGTGACCAGGGAGGCAGCCAGCAACGGAGTCCTAATCCAAATGGAGAAAGGCGACCGAGCATACCTCAAGCTGGAGCGGGGGAACTTAATGGGGGGCTGGAAGTACTCGACCTTCTCCGGATTCCTCGTGTTTCCCCTCTGACCGGCTGCTAACCCGGATGGAGGCCGGGAGAAGGTGAAGGCAGGAGGGGGAGAGACCAAGAGGCTGAAATTAAGAAGGCGAGAAAGCGGCACCACTTGAAACTTCCCACGTTCCCCATCCTCATCGGGTAATCAGGCGCGCACGGCGGTTGGACAACTTGGTGTTTCCTTGTTAGAAGTCAATTCCGTTTAGCTCCGCGCACTCCCGTTTCCAAAAATAAATTTGTCTCCCCCAGTCCAGCTGCAGTAATCAAGAAAAGACTGCCTTGTCATTGTTTCTTACTCCCATGTTCATGTTCCCAGCGATTTATTTAAAAGAAACTTTATACTTAACTATATAATGTGAAATATTTTCCCCTAGGCCCCCTCTGAATCTTTCCACTTAACGAAAATCTAATATTTTCCTTCCCCCTTTTTTGGTTTGGAGAGAGGATGAGGTTTTTGTTTTGTTTTATTCCTATTTTTGTTTCTGAATGGGGAAAGTCGTTTTAATCCGACAAGTATTACTCTTCTTTCGGTTGCGTTGTATTCTCAGCTGCCTGTTAGCAGAGAAAGGATTCACCTCACTAGTGACTGGTTGAAACTATACATAAATATATATCATTTGTACATGAAGAACTCTTCCCAGTGGAAACTGGCTGCGTTCCCGTATTTCTATGTCCTGTTCGGAGTGGTCGTGAGTCTAAGGCTGCTTGGTGTCTGATGCCCTTGTCAACACCCTCGTGCTCTGTGGCCCCCGCTACCTGCCCAGGAGGGTCTTCGGAACGACTCCTCCCCCCCTGTACCATACGTGTGGATAGCCAATTAATTTTGCTTTACTCCAATAAAGTCAAAGTGAGACTTTTATTTTTCTGAAACAGCTTTCTGAACTCCGCATCTTCCCAGGCTTTGAAGGTGAAGTTGGGGACCCAGGGTGCCAAGGCAAGGTTTAGCAAAACAGGCACAAAGAAGGCCGGTCGGGTGCAAGGGCTGACATGACACTGGCTCTGAGCTCCCACCTGCACCAGGCCTAAGCTGGCCTGCTTCGCCTGTGCACCCTGCTTTGTGTGGCAAAACCCAAAAAATAGGGTCTCCCCCTTGGGAGTGAAGTTTGGGCTTTTCAGATTCCAAATGCGTCGGAATCATCTCCATTGGAAGACCCGAAACCAGCCTGCCGCCCAAGTGGCAGCTTCCCCGCGCCTTCTGCTCCTGGATGTCCCCAGCCCTCGTCTGCTCCGCCATTCCCGAAGCAGCATACGTTTTATACCAACGCCTCTGAATCCCGAGTCGCCTGCCAATGACCCGGCACCCTGGACCTGTGATCGCACTCATTCGCAGGACTGTTCTTGGAGAGGTTCGTCCAGGAGTTTTGATTGTAATGGAACATAATGTGAAAGCAAAATTGAAATAAACAACTTCGTTTTAAGTCTGGAAGCCTGACCCAGTCGCTTCGGCAGCAGCAGGGAGGTTGGGAGTTGGGAAACAGGTGGGCGGCTGCGGAGGGCAAAGGGCAGGATCCGAGCCCGTGAGGCTGCTCTGCTTCCAGTCCCTCTGGGGATTTTTCCCGGCCTGAGATTTAGGGTTGAATTTCTGACTCCAGGAGGAAGAAGAGAGGAAGAGGAGGGATGATAAGGGCACAATAAGCGACATTGCTCAGATTTATTCTTGCCTGCCATTTGTCTGATTTAAAGATTTCCTGAGCACAGACTCGGCATGGAGTTGAAATCTAGGCTCTTTCTGCGCCTGCAATTCAGGGGCCCTGCAGCCCCAAAGGCCAGAGGATAGGTGGGGACTTCGTGGTGGGGAAAGGACCGCCTTTTCCTTCAAGTCTAATTGTTCCCTTTCTCCCTCATCAGTAGTCCCAAGAGAAGTGTGGATGAGGAGGAACAGGTGGGCCATAGGGAACTGAAAAAGGAAACCTGTTCTTTATTAAGAAAGACAGGCATTGCCTGTGGTCTTCCTATGGGGAGGGAGAGGCCAGGGACTCCTCCAACGGTGGTAGAAGTACCTCCAGCCAAACGAACCAGAGCGCAGAGCCTGCCCTTCAGGCGAGCAGAGACCCCTGCAGGCTAGAGGCTCAAGGCTGGCCAGGCCATTACAGTATCCAAGCATGGAAGCAGAGTCCAGAACACTCCAGAGCTCACCAAGGCATCTGTGTGTAGTCTCCCTTCTTCCTGAGGATAGAAACGCTTGGGTTATTGTCCATGCAGTTAGGGGCCCACCAGGCTGTGGTGAAGGGCAACTCTCTTTCCCAGTCCCAGTTTGTCTACTTCTATAAAGACAGAAAAGAATCCAAGCATCTCCTTGAGTCCTTCCTGTACTGCACATCCAGCCTTTCTCTGTTCCTGGATCTGAGGCAGGCAGGTCATTTTGCCCAGGTTAGTGATCATGGTTGGAACCTGTGCTGTGTGTGTGTGTGTGTGTGTGTGTGTGTGTGTGTGCAGGAGGGCGCTGCATATGAGGAAATAGGGCACACTGAGCCCCAGCATTGGGGCTCATGGAGTGAAATTAGTTACAGCCAATGAACCCTAAGGGGAAATGAGATGGAGAGGTTCTCCGAGATGCTGCCCTGGCACAGCTGACCCCTTCTTTAGGAGGGTTCCTGCCTCTCCAAAGCGGAATCTGATATTGGAGACCCTTCTCCGTCAGGCTGCAGCCACTTCTTCCATCTTCCTTCCTCTGTCATTTGATGGATGCTTCTCCCATTGTTATCTTTGGATCCCCACACCTGTTATTCCTGTCCTGGAGATTGAAATATCTTTTCTCTCCCGCACTTTTCAAAATCCTATCCCGGGGCATTCAGGACATTAGTGCTTCCTCTGGGGCACTGGTGTCTGAGGATCACCACCCTTCCTTGTTCTCCAACCAGACCTTGTTTGGAGCTGGGGTTGTTCCCCACTCTGCTCTGTGTCCCACTGGGCAGTGGTGGCTTAACTAGCAAGCCCTTAGACTTGCTAAACTGCTGTCCCTGCCCTGGGCTGTCACATATCTCAAATTGCCTTCACCCTCCGGCCTGAGCTTGCCCTTAGCCTGTGTGGGGCTGTGGATAGCTTCCCTCACACCTCTGGGAAGAAAAAAAAAGGGGAGGGAGGGAGTCATGTTTACCTGAACTGGAGGAAAACTGAGTCCAGACTAAAGGGCCCCAGATTCCAACTGGTGTACTGGGGATCCAGAGGGATAGAGAAGAAAGGGTCTGCAGATCAGCTCTTTGCCGCCCCAACCAGGGTCTAGGGGAGGGGTGCTAAAACCTGTACCTCACGGTGGATTCTTTTAAGATTTTGAATCCCCTGTATCCCAGATCTCCGTGCCCTGTCTCCTGCTTTCATTTAGCATAAAATACTTTAAATCAGGCCCTGCAGGGCAGCGATGAAGAATCTTTTAAAGCTTTCAGGGTAAGCAGCCCGAAGTGAGGATGTGCCACATGTGCCATGGGCTCTCCACCTCTGCTCTGGGGGGCCCAGGACCCCCTCCTCCTTCAGCCTCACCCTCTGAAAGGCTCCTTCCCAGCCGGATCACCTTGGTGACTTCCTCCTCTCCTGGCTCACCTCCCCTTGGGTAGGGCTGTCTCCCCTTCTCTGGCCTCCCTCTTTGGAGAGTGGGCTCTCTTGCTAGTGGTTTACCCTCAAGTCCCGGGCAGGGCACTGGGTATCTTCTGCCCAGAGTTCAGCTAGCCCTAGGGCATGGCAAGGGGGAACTCAGGAGGCTTCCAGCAACCAAAAAGCTGGCCTCTCTGCCTGGTTCTCCATGCTGTGCCAAGCATTTCTTGAGCCTGGTGGGCAAGGGCCCTGCTTCCTGCCCAGCATTGCCCAGTTGAACCTTCCCATGCTTGAGGGTCTGGGAGCACACCTTCCTTGATGCACTGGACTGCTGGAGCGGACTGGCTGGTCTGCTCCGCTCCTAATGAGAAAATAATAACCTAGATGGAGCGGGAGCCTCTGCTGACTGCTGACTCCTTAATTGTTGCCTTAATGGGTTGGTAGTGGAGGCTGCCCTGCAGTGGTAAGGGTCAGGATTCTTCCTTAGGGCTTAAGGAAGGTCTTAGGCTCCAGTGGACAGCAGGTAAGGCCAGGGGTCCTGCCACCACTGGATTTACATGTGACCTTACATGACCCTTTCCCCCCACCCCCAGTCACAGATCTGTCCCTAAATCTAAATCTTCCCCTCACTCAGTCACACATCTCTGAGCAGGAGCTTGGTCAAATTCTGTCACTCCCTGGGGCATTCAAACAAAATAGGAAATCTTACCTTACTGTGAGGGACCCTGTCTCCCTGAACTGAAGCTGAAGCCCAGAGGTAAAGCTCAGACCTTCTCTCTTTTGAGCTTATTCTGTGGAACAAGGAAAGGTTGCCCAGGAGACCATTACAAAGGATTCCAGGATCTTGTGGCATCCAGATCCTCACTGAAGAGCCATACACTCTCTGAGCCTCAGTCTCCTTATTTAAAATGGAAAGAATAATGTCTTCACAGCTAGGTAGTTGGGAAAACTATTCTAAAAGGTATTTTAAAACACTCAGCCCTGGTGAAGACAAAATGCTGAAAAAATGGCAGCAATAGTGAAAAATAACAGCTACCTAGAGAGTCACACTGTCACAGAAGCACAATGTAAGGGAGCACCTGAGTGGATCCCCACAGTGAACAGAGGGGGAACTGAAACCAGGGAGAGGCGGGACATGGGGCAAGTGAGTAGGAATGCTAGAGACAGGAAGGGGATCCTGTGCTTTAGCTTTTCCCTGACACTTCCATCCCTGCCTTGCTGTCAGTCACAAAAATTGGAGATTTTGTGCCCTAAATGTCTTCCATTGTCACTTCTGTTGCCGCTTGTGCCTCAGCACTTGCGTGGAACACTGTGGGTGAATACTCTCTCTGATTGTCCGCATGCTGGCCCATGCTTCATCAGATCACAAGGCCTGTTTGCTCTCTGTGCCCCTTTGGAGGGCATTCCCTTCTCAGGCAGTCCTCTTCACCGTGCTTGGCTCAGGGCCTCACAAGGTACCCTGCCCAGAGAGAGTGTCCTGTGATAG